CAAACGAGCTTGAACATTCCCCCCCCCCCCCTCTCCTCCCCTTCTCCTCCCTCCACACCCTCTCTCAAGCTCCACCACCCACTGACAGGGGCACAACACACAGAGACAGTCTGCCCCCCCCCCCCGGAGGAGAGCTCTGTGTTAACCCCCTATACACTACACAACTAAGGAGAAAATTCACAAAAAGGGGATTCAGTGTGCCTGAAACTGCTAACAAGATAAAACATCTTTATTTGTTTGTATCTATTCAGTGTACTGTGTCAGTGTAATTAGTCAAAAGGTAATGACAGCAATGTTTTCTGTAACAGAGCTCTCTATTTTCAGCACTCTGTAATTCTGAGCACAGTAACCAGTGCATCCAAACTGAAAATGCTGAGGCAGAATTCCCTTAATCCTCTAAATCGAAATACCTGCAAAATTTCACTATAATCAAACCAAACACTGACAACAAAACATGTTTTAATACAGCTTTACTGATCAAACACATAGAAAATATTGTACAGGTATTAGAAAAGTTAAAAATGTAGTATCTACACTAATTATAAATAGTTTATTAACACTTTAAACTGGCACAGCAAGAAAAAATATCAGATAAATTCTTGTTCTGCAAAATATGTGTATTTAGCCTCAATATAGGCTATAAATTAATAATATTTGCTTGCATTGCAAACATCTCAACCAGCCGGTTGAGTTGCCCAATTAGAGTAAACTAATTTTGTATTGGAATTTGCACAGACTTTTTAAATAATCTCGAAAATGATGCATGAATTTGAAATGTCTGCTTCATTTACTTGTAATGGAAGATAGGCCTAGTTAAATGAGGACTGATATCAAATAAATAAAATATGAACATTTGTGTGTCAAAATGTGAATACCATTAAAATTACATCTACTGAATGAGATTGTGAAACATATTGAAGATAACAGGCAGACAGTAAATAATGATATGAATTTAAAGGATATTTGTATTTGCACAAAAAATTCCCATAACAATTTCACTAACGTTGACTTAATAGCATTCCTTTAGTGGGCAACTCAACTGCCTGCTAAAGCATATTTTTCAAGAGCTCTTAAATTTGTAAAACAACAAAATATTAGTAATTTAATCATTCTTAAATTAAGCATTCAACAACATTTTACAACCTTGTAATTTCCGATTTTATACACAATCAGTGTATAAAAGAATGTGTGGTAAATGAGGTTCGGTTTTGCTCACACTCACTTCCTGGTTTTCAACCATCTTTGAATACGTGTTAAAAATATATATAGGAGTCTGATAATGAAAACCACATGATCATTTTACTAAATGGCATTGGTTGAGATGATAAAATATGCCAAACAAAATTCATGTTTAATTTCATTTAAAATTGGTTGTCAAAATTAGCTGAGCTGCCTGTTATAGGGTTAATGTTTATTACTTGAAGGCTATTCTAAAGCGTTACGAACATCTATCGGTATTTCCCCACATTTATCCGATCCGTCTGTAGTCATTAACTTCTCTCTATACAAAGACTTCCTACAGTACCTGACATAACCTGTCCTTTCTAGGTTAAGCTCTTTAGATCTCACATCTGACAGCACTCCTGCAGACTACATCCCAACATCTCTAGAGGCAGGGAAAGAGAGAAGGACGCCATGCGTGAAATTATATGTTTACTTAGTAGGTGGAAGAAATGACAGGGAGGATGATTGGCTTGTTTCATCTTGGGGCATGCAGAGGACAGGTAATTTCACTTTTTAATCACCATGACGGTGGAAAATATTAATTTCACCAGCGTTATTTGACAAAGAGGATCGCATGACAGTACATTTCAGAGTTTTCCACAAGCACCAGGTTGAAGCAGATGTGAGCTGGAGTTGAAGAATTTGACCTCGGTGGAGAGTATGATGCTGGACATCAAGTTCAGTTTACTGTACCATTTTACCTGGATGACTTTGTTAAAAATGAGGGCTTTTTCTGCACTCGGTCAAACTGTACCAACATTCCTGTTTTGAAAACCTTTGAGACTCCATTCAATCAAGCCCACAGTTTGGTATTTACTGTAAGCTATAGCTGTTTTTCCCATGGTAAAAAAATTAAGACAAACACCAGGAGTTGTGTGTGCTGGCAGCCAACAGATGACAGTTTGATTGAATTCCAACGCATTGGCTTCCCAACCTTTATTCCAACCCTTCCTTTAATAAATTTACTAAATCCATCTCCCAGTCTCCTAAAACTCTACACCTCAGCCCTAGCCTCTGTGATAGAGCCAGTTAGATGCCAGTGGAATAATTGTTCCTCCTCCTCCAAGGCCCTTGTACGGCTTATCATCAAGGTTGTGTTCTGGCTTGGGGCCACATCTCAGTGAATGAGTCTTTTGTTTGGCATGATACACATTAAATGATAACCAGCATGGGCTGTGTGTGTGTATTACGGACCCCTTTTGGACATTGTCATAGTGGGGGTTTGGGGGGGGGGGGGGATCAGGAGGGGGGGTCAGGAGGGGGGATGCTAAAATACATCTCACAGCTTCAGTAAAACCACAAATGTGTAAACCAATGCATTTCTCTGTAGAAACAAGTATTTGTCGGCAAAAGAGGGGGGGAACGTTTCACTCTGCATACATGTTCGTGAGACAATTACAACTGATATGTGATATGTTTGTCAATACAGTTTGAGTAAGTAATCAAATCGCTGTGCTTCGAGTCCCAAAAACAATGTTGAGGAGTCATCATCACCTGCAGGTCTTCAGGAGAGACACAGCTAATAAAGAAAGTATTACATTTACATTTTAGTCATTTAGCAGACGCTCTTATCCAGAGCGACTTACAGTTAGTGAGTGCATACATTATTTTTTATACTTGCCCCCCGTGGGAATCGAACCCACAACCCTGGCGTTGCAAACACCATGCTCTACCAACTGAGCTACATCCCCTCCCTGGTTGGATACCTGTTCATAACCCACTGGTCATAATGCACCACATCGATTATCCTCATTGGAAGACGCTATCATACCACCTTCTATGAAGAAGAGCCGTAATGACAGGCTTTTACCTGGTAATTGCTATAATCTCACTGCCTAGTATGTGGATGTAATGATAGGGCCCAAAGCACTGTGTATTTACACAGAGATGTGTGATGCCATCTCTACTGCTCCAGTTAAAGGTTGCTCTTATGCACAGATCTAGGATCAACCAACCCTCCTTAGATCCAAACCTTATTGGGAGTGAAAACCTAAATCTGACCTAGCATCAATTTCTAAGGGGCAACTTGGACCTGCTCTGTCGTGCTCCAGCATGATCATAGCAGCAGGTCTGCGGGTGCATGACGCACATTTTTGGAATCTAATTAATTGGGGGTTGGTGCCGTGGTAACATTTTGCCTTGTACTATACAGTCGCCCAGTACATTCTTCAAATGAATTATAACTCTGTCAGAGAAGGGCCCCCTCATTTCAGTGTCATCATCCCATCTACGTATACCTATATGATATTTCACATATGTTGTGGTCTGAATCACAAGAGTATTAAGAGGATCAGCATTGCAGTTTGTTAGACAAAGTGGTTGTGGTTACGGATTTTAAACCATGAATGAATGAACAGCGAGGAGAAAATACACACCAAGATGCACTTAAGAGGATTCTGTATTGTGCAATGCATTTGGATCCTGTTTGCATACACAGCATTTGAAAGTAGGCCTACTAAAATACATGGTTTAAGTCTATAGGTCATCACATGCTGAGTACCAATCTGTAAGCACACATACTGCCCCAAAGCCTCATCACCTAACTGTATGATGAGTTACAGTATGTTGACATTGTGTCAGCTATGATTTGTGACTGACATTTCGTCAGGATTCTACAGTACCAGTGTAAAATCAGTTTCTAATTTACTGTACATGCTAGCTGTGGCTAACCCTGAGGTCTGAAAGAGAGCATAATACATCACTAAACATTTGTTATTTAATGTCTAGAAGATAAAAAACCTTACTACTGGCTTCTCGTTAACGCCATAGTACAAGCAGGAACTATCTCCATAAATCACGTAAGGGCACTCTGGTGTATAAAGGTGCTGGGACATACTACAGTATATACATGCTTTATGAATCTGTGGAGGAGCTCATAACAAGAGAAGAGAAGACAGATGGTGGGGAGGGTAGATGATGTTCCAGGTCTGTACATGTATAAGATCATACTGTAGGATCTTATACAAGTCACGAGATGTAATGTTTTTAAAAGGAACATAACAAGTCCATGTGAGACACTCCACAATATTGTGTGTCCTGCAATTAACGAAATATGGTAGCCTACTGTTGAATATTGGTCATTTATCAATATCAGTTGATGAGAATTTAGAATGGAACAAAATAATTTAGTATCTATGGCTTTTCTAAGCTCCTTTTAGCTTGTTCCCATGAACAGTGTGACTAAAAGTCTCAAACTGTTGGTTTTTTGTTAAATGATTTGACATACTAGACCACAGGTGTCAAACTCATTCCACGGAGGGCTTAATCTCTGCAGGTTTTTGCTCCTCCCTTGGACTTGATTGAATTAAGGTCACTGATTAGTAAGAAACTCTCCTCACCTGGTTGTCTAGGTCTTAATTAAAAGGAAAAACCAGCAGACACTATGCCCTCCAAGGATTTGACACCCCTGTTCTAGACATTTAAGTCAAGTCAAGCTGCTTACTGGGTTTGAGCCATTCAGATCTTGCCCTCTAGTGGTCAATCTGTAGTTAGGTACATTCTGGATGTTCTCTATTGTAGATGCACTGTAGAGGCACAAGCAACATGTTTAAATATTAGCTTTTCCATTTATTGTAACAAAGTTGTCGAGTGGATTGCACCAGCAAATGATGCACAATAGTAACAATACTATTCAATAGAATAACCCCAACTCTGTACTTTAATACTCTCATAACACATTGTATAAGTCCATCTATGAACTCAAACATGAGATGTGCATACTACATAATATATATTAGTAACGATCTACCTAATTACAAGGCATTGAATGTGGCTGGCTATTCTCCTCGATAAATAACAATGTTCTTGTCAGTCTCGTGAATCTTGACCTCGTAGAGAAGATTGGCTGGTAGCTGCTTGACCATGTTGTCCCAGATATATACAGCCACGTTTTCGGTTGTGCTGCACAGCAGACAAAACAGTTAAAACCATGGAAACTCTGAATCACGTGCTCCGAACTGAAAATCCACCCGTTACCCATAAACATAAGGCTACAGTCCAGTAGGGAGGGGCACACACCTGACAACATTGGCAAAGTATGGGACGTCCTTATCCAGATTTTTATGGTCCAACGGAATCATGATGACTTCCTGTATCAGGATTATACATGAGTTTGTAAATAACACAGTAATAAATTAATGCATTATTTTCCTTATTCCCTATAATGTGCTTTACATGTGAAATGAATGAATTAAGAAATTAATAGTCTAGCAGCCTACGCTGTCAAAGCATAGCCTTAGCTGTAAATCAAAAAGTCAAATCCAGGCCTGGAAGAAAGGGAGGGTCTCACCTCGATGTGCTGCTTCAGATCTGTAAGGTTCATCACCATGCCTGTGTGACGATCGATCTGGGGATGGACAAAGAGAAGCTCTGTGACTGTGTGTGTGTGTGTGTGTGTGTGTGTGTGTCCAACATCCATTACCCAGGAGGCAGACTGCTTTCATATCATGAGAGTGTCATGTGATTTACTGGTGTGTTTCAAACAGTAGCAACCATGGCAATAATGTTTGGTAAGTGGTGTCATTATGGATATTGGAGTACGGAGAGTCTCAGGTGGGACTTACCTTTCCCCGTACTGTCACCTCTACTACAAAAAGAAAAGACAACAGAGCCTTTGATAAACATTGGGTTGGACCCGGTTTGAAGTTATGGAACTGGCTAGCTATGTAACCTATTGGCCAACTGTGAATCAGACAATAACTGACAACAGAATTGGTTTGGATGAGACCTTGGAGAATGACTGACCTTTGTAGTTGTGTCCATGGCCATTGGGATTGTTACACTTCCCAAATATCCTCTTGTTTACCTCATCACTCAATGTCGGGCTGGAGTGACAACAATACAATACATGAGGTTTCAATTAAACAAAAATAGATAATAAAAACGTTTAAACATTTTAAGAAGTTGATGGCTTAGCTGTCTCTACAATAGAACTACAGATCCCATGAGCTTCCGAGATTGACGCAACACGTTTTACTTCATTCCAGTTTCGTTTAGTGGCGTTAAAACTCTTCCTTCTATCAAATAAAACGGCTCACTGGAAACAAAATAATAACAGAATGCTTTCCATCTTGCACTCGTCTCGCAACCCTGCATTAAGCTGCCTATTGCGTCGTCCTATTCAACAACAACAAAAAAGATAGAAAATGATTGCACTGGTACCTGTGCAATCGGTGGCACGCGCTAAAATTCTGGACTCGTGTGATGTATCCAATGCGCTCTGCTACTTCGTTTCTTGTATCGGCTTGTGCCATCGCAATAACAGATTGACAGAAGGAAACAATGTAACTAATAATCGTCTCAGATGCCGTTAAATAGGTTATGCTGCGAATGTGGAGAATTGAGTCCACGCCCCTAGTATTGTCTTACGTCACTCAGCGACAATAGAGTCCCACAGTATGAGTCATAATACCCATAAAACCTAGCAGTCAAACAGGGAAATGGTTCCAATTGTTTTTCCACCATACATTTTCCCATAGGTGTTAAAAAAAAAAAAAACTAAGGGCTATGTTTCGTGTAGGCTTATCCTGGCGTGATGTTTTGATAACCGTGTAAATCTCTCTAGGACAAGGTGACATTTGTCAATATATTCGCCTGTATTTACCGCAAAAAATCAAATGCTAATTAACTGCTAATGTGGCTATCATAAAGAACTAAAAATACCATGGTGATCTGGACGAGACTGCTGAATAGAGGTAAAGGTAAGAATCTCTGGATTAACTATGTAATGTTAGCTAAAATTGACACAATACCAGTGGAGGCTGTTGTGGGGAGGATGGCTCATAATAATGGCTGCAACAGAGCAAATGTAATGGTATCAAACCATGTATTTGATACCATTCCACCAATTCCGCTCCAGCCATTGGGCCTGTCCTCCACAATTAAGGTGCCACCAACCTCCTGTGCACAATACCTGTTAGCAAAGGTGTCAGCTAGAGATGACGTGCAGGAGCTTGCAGGGATTTGTAGTCTTGCATGATGTCTATTTTGATACCAACCGACTATATTGATCAAAGTCACCATGTCCGAGAGAGATTTACATGGTTATCAAAACGTCACGCCAGCGTAAGCCTACACAAAACACAGCCCCTATTAAGTGTTTCAAAAAATTCCCTATGTGGAAAAACCATTGGAACTACTTCCCTGTTTGACCGCTAGGTTTTATGGGTATTATGACACCTCCACTGTGGGGCTCTATACCAACTAGTATTTTGCGTGCAGCACAAACGATGACATCACTTTTGTATGATAATGACAAAACCTTCAAAATAAAAGCCCACCTTTCAAAACATTGCAATGTTGATAACGCACAACACCCAAAGTCCCCCTCGACTCACACGGCGCAAGACATTGTAATTAACTTGTCCAACAGGTCTATCTATATCTGACACATGCTCATCTGCCTTAGGTAAGGGACTGTCATTTGTCCCAAAGGCAAAGACCAATGACTTTGATACCGTTATAGACTTCCAAAAGTTTTTCTGCAGCTTGAGATTGACTGAATTAGTTGGCAATGGGGTTGCTCCTTTTGCACCTGCCAATGTAAATCCATTGAATGAGACAAGTAACCAGACAGGACATAGTGCTAATGCTCTTTCCATTGATAACCTGATTGACAATGAACTTGACTCTCGCTCTGCGGACATGATAAGGGAAAATACATATTTTAAGAGAAAAAGCACATTTATACCTCCCTAAAGAAATCCTCTCTTGAAAAATACTGCCACTTAGATGAGAAAGATGTACATAATCTCCTGGCTAAGAAACGATAATACAAGGTATTCCACAATATGTCCAAAGCAGAGAAAGAATCCCTTATGGAACTCAAGAATGACTCCACTATCATTATAAAACCTGCCAATGAAGGAGGTGCAATAGTTATGTAAAATGCTGCAGACTATGAAAATGACATTCTCAGGGATCCTACTAATCAATTCAAGTCTCTGATCCACGATAAACTGTCTTAAGTTTTTAAATGAAGAGGAAATTACAAAGACAGAATACGAATATATGAAAGTTGACTGCCCAACGATACCTGTCATATACACTCTCCAAAAAATTCAAAAGATGCCAGCTATACCAGACAGGCCCATTGTGAGTTGTAACGGATCTCTGACAGAGAACATTTCTACCTTTGTAGACTTTGAGAAGCCCTGGGCAAGCTCTCTCCCCACGTACACCAGAGACTCTATAGATTTTCATCAATCTCCTGAAATCTGTGGACTGTATACCAGAAAATTATATATTTTTTACTTTTGATGTTACCAGTCTATATACTAACATCCCCCACCAGGGCAGCCTAGAGGCCCTCAAGTTCTACCTCAGTGAATGTCCCCCTAATGCTCTTCCCAGAACCAATTGTATTGTGGACTTGGCTGAACTGGTACTAACCTCCAACAATTTTCTCTTCAGAGGAGCCTTTTTCTTACCAAACAAAGGGACAGCGATGGGGAGCACTATGGCTCCTAATTATGCTAACATGTAGCTAGGAATGTTTGAAAAACAGGTGGTGCTTAATCCAGATCTAAACCCCTTTCTCCCCAATATTTTCCTAATTCTGAGATATTTAGATTATATTTTCCTGATCTACAGCGTATACAGGGACCCAGGAAGAACTCTTGGAATTCCATGCCTATCTAAACTCTATGAATGAGCACCTTTGTTTCACCATTAACTATGACCTATCCCAAATCAGTTTTCTTGATGTGATGGTTATTAAGGGCAAAACCTCCATCTCGACAGATCTCTACAGGAAACCTACGGACAGGAACACCCTCCTTAGAGGGGACAGCTTCCATCCATGTCCACTCATTAAAAGTCTCCCTGTAAGTCAATTCAGCCTCATTAAAAGGATATGTTGTTCTGATGCTTAATACCAGAAACAGACCACGGATCTCACACAAAAGTTTAAGGAAAGGGCATATCTTTTTTTGGGGGTAAAACATGACAATGATTGTTTTGAAGGGCTAACACAGTTGGGAAACCTTCAACCAAAAGTAAAAGAAAAAGCAGAACGCGTCCCCTCATGCTTCACCCGATACTCACCCTTGGGGAAAGCATTTAAGGACATTATCAGGAAGCACTAGTACATTGTTGACACTGACCCACAACTGAAACCCATCTTTAAACATAACCCACGTATGGTCTTTAAAAGATCCCCAAATGTGAGAGACATTGTGGCCAAATCTGATTACCCCCCAGAGAAAAGGGAAACCTTCTTGGACGGGGTCCCGGAGGGAAATTACAAATGTGGCCAATGTGCTCAATGCAGTTTCACATATAAATGTGACTCATTCACCGACCCTCGCTCAGGACAAAGATTTAAGATCAAAGGCCTGATTACCTGCATGTGGGTCTTTCTATAAATAAAGGGGCCAATGTGTGACATCAGGGTCAGAATTTGGTTTGATATACACTACCGGTAAAAAGTTTTAGAACACCTACTCATTCAACTGTTTTTCTTTATTTTTACTATTTTCTACATTGTAGAATAATAGTGAAGACATCAAAACTATGAAATAAGACATATGGAATCATGTAGTAACCAAAAAAGTGTTAAACAAATTAAAATATATTTTATATTTGAGATTCTTCATATAGCCACCCTTTGCCTTGATGACAGCTTTGCACACTCTTGGCATTCTCTCAACTAGCGTCACCTGGAATGCTTTCCCAACAGTATTGAAGGAGTTCCCACATATGCTGAGCATTGTTGGATGCTTTTCCTTCACTCTGCGGACTGACTAATCCCAAACCATCTCAATTGGGTTGAGGTCGGGGGATTGTGGAGGCCAGGTCATCTGATGCAGCACTCCATCACTCTCCTTCTTGGTAAAATAGCCCTTACACAGCCTGGAGGTGTGTTGGGTCATTGGCCTGTTGAAAAACAAATGATAGTCCCACTAAGCCCAAACCAGATGGGATGGCTTATTGCTGCAGAATGCTGTGGTAACCATGCTGGTTAAGTGTGCCTTGAATTCTAAATAAATCACAGACAGTGTCACCAGCAAAGCACACCCACACCATAACAGCTCCTCCTCCATGCTTTACGGTGGGAAATACACATACGGCGATCATCCGTCTCACAAAGACACGGCGGTTGGAACCAAAATTCTAAAATTTGACAGACAAATTCAGAAGAAAAAAATCCAGAAAATCACATTGTAGGATTTTTAATGAATTTATTTGCAAATTATGGTGAAAAATAAGTATTTGGTCACCTACAAACAAGCAAGATTTCTGGCTCTCACAGACCTGTAACTTCTTCTTTAAGAGGCTCCTCTGTCCTCCACTCGTTACCTGTATTAATGGCACCTGTTTGAACTTGTTATCAGTATAAAAGACACCTGTCCACAACCTCAAACAGTCACACTCCAAACTCCACTATGGCCAAGACCAAAGAGCTGTCAAAGGACACCAGAAACAAAATTGTAGACCTGCACCAGGCTGGGAAGACTGAATCTGCAATAGGTAAGCAGCTTGGTTTGAAGAAATCAACTGTGGGAGCAATTATTAGGAAATGGAAGACATACAAGACCACTGATAATCTCCCTCGATCTGGGGCTCCACGCAAGATCTCACCCCGTGGGGTCAAAATGATCACAAGAACGGTGAGCAAAAATCGACCAGTTTTCTGACGACCTCCCTATAGGCTGTCTCATCATTGTCGTTGATCAGGCCTACCACTTTGTGTCGTCGGCAAACTTAATGATGGTGTTGGAGTTGTGCCTGGCCATGCAGTCATGGGTGAAGGAGGGGACTGAGCATGCAACCCTGAGGGGCCCCCGTGTTGAGGATCAGCGTGGCAGATGTGTTGTTACCTACCCTTACCATCTGGGGGCGGCCCGTCAGGAAGTCCAGGATCCAGTTTCAGAGGGACGTGTTTAGTTCCAGGGTCCTTAGCTTAGTGACGAGCATTGAGGGCACTATGGTGTTGAACGCTGAGTTTTAGTCAATGAATAGCATTCTCACGTAGGTGTTCCTCTTGTCCAGGTGGGAAAGGGCAGTGTGGAGTGCAATAGAGATTGCATAATCTGTGGATCTGTTGGGGTGGTATGCAAATTGGAGTGGGTCTAGGGTTTCTGGGATAATGGTGTTGATGTGAGCCATGACCAGCCTTTCAAAGCACTTCATGGCTACAGACGTGAGTGCTACGGGTCGGTAGTCATTTAGGCAGATTATCTTAGTGTTCTTGCGCACAGGGACTATGGTGGTCTGCTTGAAACATGTTGGTATTACAGACTCAGTCAGGGAC